AATGAATCCCGAAAGCCAACATGTCTCAGCATTGAAATGGAATCCCTAAAGCCAACATGTCCCAACATTTACTTGAAGAGGAATAATGATAATAAAGAGCATTAATATTTCATTTCTAGCACATATTCCATCACATGGCAACAACTGGAAATTTCCAAAATTTTCTGTATCATGCATTTCGAATCAGAAAGTAAGAGAAGGCAGTCATATTACGCTTCATCTTATTGATTCAAGAAGTTTTCCATGATTAGATCTCAAAAACAGGCCTAAACTTTTACTTTCACATGCTTTAAAAGAGAAAGGAAATATTTTCAAGTGCAAATCCGAGTGATGCAGATTAGAGGAAAGAAGAGAAAGATATCTTAATGCAGACTCAAAGTAAAACTGTAGAACAAATTTAAGAAAACACTTCTTACAGAAACTTTCCTCCCAAAAGTTTTGAGAAACAACAACCAATGAACACCTCAAACTCCTTTTCCTCTCAAAATTTTCAACAACCCTTGGCGGTCAAACACACAACCAAGCAAGAATATGGAAACAACAAGAAAGAGTACCGAGCAGCCCAGAAGGAATGTCGAGCAACTGAACAGGAAGTTTACGTCAAGCCAAAATTTCAGTAGCACCTCCCCAAGCCAAAAAAATTTTCAACCACCAAAAATCTTCCTTCATGCTTCCTGCATGTAGGATTTGATAGGCAAAGGGGAGAAGAGCAGCCACCTACCATCCTCACTGGTGGTCGAATCAGGTAAAGGGAGAGGAGAAATGCATTTAGGGCGGAGGAAATACAACCTCGAGAAAAAGAAGGGTTGGACACGAGGCGGACACTAACTGGCAAGCCGCTCGGTAGCTCGAGGAGGCGAGCCTCGTGCGCGAATGGCAGAGAAATGTCGCGTGTGGGGAAAGAGGAATGTCGTGTGTGGGGGAAGAGGAGGGCAAGCCTGTTCGCGAATGGCAGAGGGGACGCGGGAGCTAGGGCTTCGATCGAGCCGCGGGGTGGGGAGGGAGGTTAGCGTGGTTTAGGTGAAATAATGTTTAGGATTAAAATTAATATTATAAGTAATAATACAAATATAAAAGTATTTAATATTTAAAAAATAAAAAATTGATTTGTATATTTTTTTATGTGTCACAGCATAAAAAAATAGATGTCCTTTTTAGATAATTCTGACGTTCCGGACACGTTAGCGTGGTCCGTTTCATCGTCGGAGGTCGTTTTGACGAATTCATCATTTTCTTGCAATTTGCTCGTGCACAAAATTATGGCAATATGGGGTGCCTTTCATAGCTAAAATTAATGTCCCGGACGTGTTGGCGTGGTCCATTTTATTGTCGGAGGTCATCCGGAAAAGTGCACATTTTCACTCATCCTTTAAGCTCAACTTTAGTCCGAACTTGAGCAACTTAGTGAATTTTGTGCATTTTATGTGTGCGTGATGATGAAGTCCTGAAGAGGTTTTCCTAAGTTTTGAAATCATATTAGAAACTTCTCTCTGAGTTTCCACATGATAGTCCTTAACCACTCAACCATACGATGATGGTTTTAAGATCATTAATGCGAGACATCACAAAAGAAATAGGAAGTGACTGGAATTTCTAAGGGGATGAGTTTCAATACTAGTTTTCTAAGATAATCAATAGGAACCACTAGAGCTAGATCCTAGGATCCTAAGGAAAAGAGTAATGACCTCAAAATGAGGTCAACACCTAGATCCACCTAATTCTAGTGTTTTTTGTTTTTTTATTGAAATTTTAGATTTACATGTTTTGTTGTAATTTCATACTTGAATTTAGTAATAATATTCGTTTTTCATTGTCGTTTGGTTAAATCCCGGTATCATTTGGTATCAAAGTTAGCCCAATCCTAGTTCCATCCTATGGTGACCTAAACCAATCAAACCATAACCAAATATTGACTTAACCCTAATTCTCCTTGCTGACTTTTCAAACCAATCACACTGAAAATTTTTCCCCACCCAAAAATCATCCCCATACAACCTCTTTCACCTCTAAAACCTAAACCATAGTTTGCCACAGAGAAAGAAAGTGTTGGAAATCAATCAGAAACTTCCCATAGAAGAGATGCAGCGGATAATATGCCAACTTCAGCAAAGAATTATTGAAATTGAGGAAAGGACTTATAGAGATATCAACGTTGATCGAGATAGCAAGATTCGCAAAGGAGAAAGGGAGGAGAATTCCAAATCCCTTCCATAGGGATGATTCCAATGAAGTGAAAAATAAGCCATAGTACTTTTGGATTCAATATTTAGAGAAGATCAATGGATGAAGTGATTTTTAGAGGACATGAAAATATGGCTACAGAAATTTGAGGGGAGATTGAATCCAGATGACTTCATTGAGTGTTTGCAAACTATTGAGAAAATTTTCGACTATAAAGAGGTGACAACTGGCAGGAGAGTGAAAATTGCTCCCATAGAACTGAAGAAGAGTGTTTTTCTGTGGTGGGAAAATCTAAAGAGGGTGAGGCAAAGAGAAGGTAGAAACAAGATCACTATTTGGGAGAAAATGAAAAAGAAGATGCAGAGGAAGTATCTACCCCACACTACCGTCTTGGCATGTTCTTGAGACTGTATCACTTAAATTAGAGAGAGTTGTAAGTAGAGGAGTTCACAACGGAGTTTGAGCTACTCTTGTTGAACTGTGAGCAGAGGGAGCCAGAAGAGAACACTGTGGTCAGGTATTTGAGAGGCATGAAGTTAGCCAACAACAATTTTGTACAGCTGCAGCCTTACTGGTAATTGAGTGATGTTCAAACATTGGCCCTGAAGGTGATGAAACTACATAAACAGATCAGAGCCCCGCCTTCATTCAAACAGTCACCAACAGTAGGAGCCGATGGTACTCCTGAGGAGGTGTGAAAACTATCCAAAAATAAGATTTAGTTGATCAAAGTGATAAGATATCCGAGAGCAGTACACCCAGCACTGTGCCTGCAAGAAAGTGCTTCAGATGTCGAGGGTTAGGACAAATCGTCTCAGGTTGCCCTACTACCAGAGTTATCTCTTTTATTAAGTAGGAAGCAGTAGAAGAAGAAAATAGTGGTGTTGGAAACACAGAGGATTGTGAGGATGTGCAGGAGTACCAGCTTCCAGCTGACGAGGGTGAGATGCTTGAGATTTGATGAGTCCTTCAGACTGAAGCTATGAGAGAGCAGTAGTAGTTTCGACATATCTTTTATACCAGTTGCACTATAAAGGGAAAGATGTGTAGCCTTGTGATTCATGGAGGTAATTGTGAGAATGTGACACCGACACAGATTATTAACAAATTGAGTCTCACTACTCAGAGACATTCACAATCATATTCCATATTTAGATTGAAGAACAGGAACAGTGTTAGCGTTGACAGGAAATACCTTGTAGAGTTTTCTATTCAGGATCAATTGCATGACCATGTGTGTTGTGATGTCATATCCATGAACATCTGTCACATTCCGTTGAGGAGACCGTGTAAGTTTGATCACAAGATGTGGCATGATGGGTTTAAGATCCTTTTTCATTCATCAAGGACAGGAAGAACATAATTATCCTACCTTGCCATGGGAGAGGCGTCAGTGGGATCCGTTTTGGTGATGTTGAAGAATAGTGAGGCAAAAGAGTCGATATCAGACACAGGGTACCCACTATGGAGAGAGTTTCAGGATATCCTGACCGATAGTTTATCGCCAGTGCTGCCACCATTAAGGGAGGTTCAGTCCGCGACACTTCAGAGAGGAATGAGCCAATCTTGAGCTACTTTTAGAGGACTCTGCAGTGTTTTCTTGGCAAAAACTTTTAGTTCGGTTCAGTAATGTACTGACAAATGGATGCACAGATAAAGATAATTACTCGTAATTCGGGAAACATTCTCAGGTGTTTTGTGGGATATTGCATCCAACAGTGAAATCCAGGTGCTTCTAAAGACGCGGTCGAAGGCTCTCCAATACTGAGAGATTACAATTTTTTTGCAAAACGTGGCCAACATGCTCCATACTACAAGGAGACATATTTTAATAGATGAGGTCAAAGCTCCCTCAATTTTTGGAGACTGACGCGGTTGTCTGGACGTCTGGACCAAACCGATCAAGAACTTGGGAAGCCAGCCAAGCCTCTCAAGTGGGAGTGTCGCCTCTTTCAAGAAAAGGAGGCCCACTCCTAGTTATCTAGGATTATTTATTTATCCTCATTGTGTCTAGAGTTAGTTTTTTTTTTTTTTTTTTTTTTTTTTTTTTCTAGGACAGTCATCAGCATCTCCTTGTCTCTTCTAGAGTTATATCTAAGATTTTAAGTTGTGCTCTAGCTATATCTCTATTATGAGAGGTGTGTATCCTTCCTATACCCTTCACCGTCCCTTCTCTGCACCGGCTTCCTCCCCCTCAGAGCTCCACCTTTGTTGTTGTCCTCTAGAAAACAGTAAAATCGTTGTTTTTCTTCTCCCCTTATGTCACCCCTGAAATGGCTACCTCTTGTTTGCTTTGCCATCCTCTTTGTTGTCATTCCCCAGATCCGCCCCTACCTTATTGTTCCCGTTTTCCAACCACCTTTTTCCACCACCTGCCCACATCCAAGACCCCCTAGCCAACACCTCCGCTACCCTACATCCACTCAAGTCTAGTGTTGTGTGTTGTTTTCATTACAATTTCAAATTTTCATGTTCTTTTATTGTAATTTCGTATTTGAATTCGATCATAAAATTTGCTTTCCATTGACGTTTGGTTGAATCTCGGTATCACTCACACATATAACTAATGGATAATTTAGCATGATAAATGTCGATACTAAAAATGCCAAAATAGTTTTACATCCATAATGAAGACAAGATAACTAATTCCATAGAAAGGAGATGAAGAATTATATTTAAAATTAATATTTACAAAATTTCAGAAAATTTTTATCTGATAATAGACAAATCACAAAGTACGATATGTATATTATATGAACGGTTAACCTCTTTCAATAAAAACAGCAAAAAAAAGAGTAAAATAAAAAGAATGTCTGTACCATTGATTTCAAATGAAATTCCCATCCTCCAACATCCCCACGTGAACCAGAAGACAAAAGAATGTCATCTTGATATTCCAATCTCTCTCTTCCTAGACTAAGAGAATTCCCATCTTCATCAGCAATATAAAAGAAAAGATGTGCAGAACTCGACTTTGCTTCATCTGAAATCGATCTGATGATATAAAGATCATAAGAAATAGAAAACAATTATGGTTGGCTCGCCTCCGCAGATAATCTAATCAATTAAGCATGACTTGTTGTCGAAAAGAAAAAAAGAATAACAACAAAGTATTGATTTATAAGTACTGGAATTTGCATACATAGCACACAATACTTATGTATTTGCCCATCTCAAACCTAAACTTTCATGTTTACACACATAGCACTCAAATCTTTAATTTGTCATTAGAAATAGCACTATTAACATTTTTTTTAAGTGAAATACACATTTTCATGTATAGGTTTAAACACCAATGACGCAGGAGCACGTTTAGTGATCCTGTGACTGCGAGTTGCAACATTCGGTTATAGTGAGTGGGCAGAACTGAACCGAACAATGTTTCTTTTTTTTTCAAATACCAACTTGTTTCCTTTTATCCTTTCTTCATTTCTAATATTTTCCTATATATGTGTTGTATTAGAGTTTGGATTCACAGTTTTTTACTTGAGTTTGTTCGGGACGGCCGTCGGCATCTCCGTTTCTCCATTCTATGACAGTATCCAAGTGTCCGAGTGGCGCTCTGACTATATCTCACCCCCAAGGTGGTGATTATGCTTCCTCTACCCCTCCGCATCCTTCACCATCGCTCCGCATCGCCCGTCCCAGCTGCAGTCACCACCCAGTTGTTTTCTACAGTCCCACCTTGCCGCCAACTTCTAGAACCAGCTCTCCTCCCCTCAACCTTGCTGCCACCATCCAAAATCAGTGTCCCGCCCCTTCCACCATGCTGCCGCCTTCAAGGAACCGTGCTCCTCCCCGTTCCACCTTGCTGCCACCTTCAGACTGCATTCCCTTGCTGTTTCCTAACTGTTCCAGCCATCCCTCCCTTGCTACCACTACCAAGAACCATGTTTTCAGCAGTTTACCCGCAGCACCAGCCATCCAGGCTTACTGCCATCACCCTGGACAGCAGGCTCCATCTCTATCCATGCTGCTAGCCGCCTCCCCCATGCCGTCGCCACCTTCCTCCTTGCTACCACCACCCAGGAAATCCCCTTCATGTCGACTTCCGATGCTTGCTTGTTGTCTGGAACTTGGAAAACAGCCTCCTTGCTGTTTCTGCTCGCCAATCACCCCTTTCGACCACCTAGCCACCTTCTAGACCCTCACCGGCCACCACTACCACCCATTGATTCAACCCTAGTTGGAGTTCGCATCTTGTTTTTTTCAGTGTAAATTTCTGTGTTTGTTTGATTGTAATTTCCGATTTCAATAATAATATTTATTTTTCCATTGGTTAACTCCGGTATCAACCAAAGTGCTATATATATGCAAATGTGAAAGTTCAGGTGTGAGATATGCAAATACATAAGAATTATGTGCTACGTATGAAAATTTCCCTTATAAGTAATCACATAAATCTCAGAATTAATAATACCTGACACTTATCAAGTTTCTTTTCATTATCTTATTCAAATCCAGTAAGAAAATAGTAGTTAGTTGTGAATTTCTGGGCATTGATTGATCTATGATTACGCTAAATCCACACGAACACAAACCTTTTTCTTACAGGAAGAATATCACTCCTCTACTTCAAACAGTCCTAACTGACTTGACGGATTAAGTATTCAAGCACCTAATATAAAGCTTGCGGCAAAAAGAAACAAAAGGAAAATACAAAAACAAAAATTTCATCAACATAGCCCATCATTCCTTTAATATAATCATTTCTTAACTGAATCTTTCTAGCATTTCCATATATTCATCTTAATATTATCCTTTCTAAAGCACACAATTTGCTTACCTAAAATTAAAAGGCCACGTAACATAGATAGCATAATTGTAGATTTTTTACCTTTTATTTTCTTTTTTTTTTTTTATGTTTTAATTTGGATTGAAACATGTTTGGTTGTGGCAATAAAAACACTCAAAATAATTTTTAAGTGTTTTAGAAAATAAGTTGGTCTAAAAATAAATAAATAAATAAAAATATATAAAATTATACAAACTAAATATGTTTTCAATAATAAAATTAAAAATAAAACAATAGAAAAATAAAACAAAAGTGATGTTAACCCTAAGTCTTCGTGATATCATTGCATAATACTAAGTCAATCATCGACCTTAAACAAAAAGTCTCAACCCTAAAAATGTATATCCTCTGATTACTTTATATAATTAATCCAATATTTAAACTTTAGGTGTAAGCTTGGTTGCCCCATAAGCCTATAAGTTAGGAACTCTAAAAGCCCCGATGAATTAAAAATTTAATTGGCAAAGACTGACCCCTTTGTGCACTCTAATTTTAATGGCAACAAATATTTTTCTTGTCATTGCGTTAAGTAAACAACAATGGTTACTCATTAATTGATTAGCAAACACTTTAAACTTGTTATTTAGAATTTGTTTTGAGTAATGCTATACTCCACTAACAAACAAACATTTATATTAATGTAATGTTGCTCGACACATGGCATAACATATTATATTTATTTATAGCTTTTTCTAATTAAATATGAAAATATTAAGTTCTAAGTACGTTAATTATTCTAATTCGCAAAACTAAATCAAAATAATTTGTTTCTAAATTAATATGCATGAACTTAATCAAAATAACTTATTTTTATAAGAATAAAATATTTTTTTTAATTTACTCAAATAAAGTAATATAAAACTATTCATATAAACACTGGCTGTCAAATTAACCATGGCATGCACGGTTGTAAACGAGCTAAATGTGGCAGGTGGCGAGGTTGGTGAGATTTTTTCGGGAATATATATAAAAATGGGTCCATATTTATATTCATATGTAAATGCTCAGTTGACACCAGTACTTCGATCTATACATCATAATCACCAAAATTGCATATATGATATTTGCTTTATTGATCATAAGACCTTTTTACCTTCTGAATTTATTTTAATTTTTTTAGCTTTCCACTTATTTCAACAAAGATATCATCGATTATAGCTTACCTAACTTTCAAAATCCTTCATAAGAATGTTCAAAATTAAAACAAATAATGCAGTTTTAATATTGATCTTCAATATAAACCTGTTGTAATTTGGAACTCCTTGATCACTCTACGATTAGTAATAATAGTCATTGCTCATCACGCATATATTCATTAATTTCAGCATACCATTAACAAATGAATTTTTTTTCATAATTCCTCGTCAAATCAATTCACATTTTGATAATCAAACTCCTATTTAACTTCCATAAAAAACACAAAAAGATTATTATTTCTTTATTTTACTTAATATTTTTTTATTATTAGTCTTAACACAAAAGTTGCATTCATAGTAGATCTTCATAACATAAAACTAAATAGATTATATCATAACAACATAACTTTTTACAAACTATTTTTCATTAGCCTCTCCCAAAACCACACGTTGTATAACTAATAAATTTGATTCCCAATAATAACCATAATCATAAGTAAATTATCGTTCTTGAACACAAGTACCAAATGAGTCTTCTTCAATCATTTGACAATGTTTTAGGTTTCATAATTCCACTGAAAAGCTTTCATAATCAAACTACAACATCACCCATAATTATCCGAACCTCAATAAGAATATGATTTAGACCCAAATGTTTACCTTTATGTAACTTCTTCATGGCTAGCTTTACTTCACTTTTTTAACATTAATCAATAATATGCCTCATTATCTTATTCATCCCGCATTTCCAACAAGCATGTTTCCTTAAACCCTGTACAGATTTATTAAAAGTGATGATTTCATCTTTCGTTGATGTTTTCAGCATCTAAGATCTTATTATTGCATCTAATCAATAATATGCCTCATTATCTTATTCATCCCGCATTTCCAACAAGCATGTTTCCTTAAACCCTGTACCGATTTATTAAAAGTGATGATTTCATCTTTCGTTGATGTTTTCAGTATCTAAGATCTTATTATTGCATCTAAACAACAGTCAATAAATCTCTTATAATTTGTCTAAACTATTTTATACGCACACACACTGCCATATTACAAAAACTCCAACTTCCTAAGAATCATGACGCATCTTAACATTATTTACTTTTTGTCCCTCCTTAAACTTAAATTTAATTCACTTTATACTCTTTCGAAACACTTCACTCCACTAGGTTAGCAAACAAACCAACATACTCAACAAATTATCTGTGCCTCGACCAAATTACAACTTATTAATGATCATTAATTAATTAATCAAACAAACTTGAACATTTATATAAATATTCATTTGATAAATGAACAAGCTTGAGTAGCTTAGTATTTGATTTGCTCGTGATCATGTACAATATAATTTAAAGCTTATGAATAAGCTCATTAAGAAGGTTGATTAAGGCTCATTAGTACCCTCATTTAAAACTCAATTCTAATTTTATTTAATAAGAGATTATGTAGGAGTCTTATTCAGATTATTTTTATTCATAAACATAAGCTAATTGTGTATGCTCGTTAAAATGTTTGTTAATTAGTAGTTCGTTTAAGAAACAGCTAATAGTACCCTCATTTAAGCTCAATAAGTCGCACAAAAATATGCTCAATAAAGTTTTCTCAATTAATCAACATATGCTTGCTATGTTCCTTGTTAATAAATATAATAAGGCTCGTTTGATTAGTTAATGAGTCGAGCTTAAACCAAACTCAAACAATTATAATTTTAAATGAACCAAGCTTAAACAACACTATAAATACTACTTAAATCAAACTTATACTCAAACTAGAAAAAGGTTTAGGCGTCAAGCTCAAGCAAGATCCCATTTGGCTTGGCTTTGCTCATTTGCAGCCCTACACTCCAAAACCAGGTCTCCTTATTAATGATCTCTTTATATAGACTCCTATAAAAAATAACTCACATCTCAACCTATATCATAACCAATAGTTATAAAATATTTTCATAATGTCTGACATAGATATCTACTAAGCTGTTTATTCCATTTAGATTAGTCATCCTTATTTTAGAATGAAATTTGATGCCAAAGTCAACCAAAGTTTACCAGATATAATATGCTCATGAAGAAATTATAAAGTTATCATTCACCATAAGCCCCCAAAAAGTTATTCTAAGTATCCGTAAAATCTAAAAAACAATAAATCACATACAAGTAATAAATGAGTGATGTTGGTAAATTACTAAATGTTATCACAAAAAGCTAGGATTAACCTTCGCACTACATCAAACAATAGAGCATAAGGAACAAAAAAAGTTAGGAAGATGATACATACCACTCAATTCTTAAGTATATACATTTCGACACCTATACTTCATTTTTTTTTACATACATACCACCTTAGGTAAGCATGAAAAGGTGTATTTTAATTTTTAAAAGTTTAAATAGCGATATTTTTTAGGTGATATGAAAGATTGGGTTGGTCTAAATGTAAAAAAGCAACATTTAGGTGTTAAATATGTAAATACATAAGAATTGGGTGGTATGTATCTAAATGCCCCGAAAAGTTAACCATTGTAGGGTTCAAAGAACCCAATTTTATTTAATTTTATTTTTTTCATTGAATAATTATGCAATAAAAAAGTCAAACTTACTTCACATTCTGCGCTTCTAATCTTACGGCCCAATCTCCTCCATAACTGCTACCATCTCCACTCTCCTTTAAGAAACTAGTGGTTAAAGTAAAGGCTTGATCCACCAATACCTGACGACCATAATCTCGACCATTGTGTTCAATCCAACCATATGTGCTAAGACCATCAGAGTCCTGGCATACATGTCGAAGTAAATATTGCCCGTCTTTTATGCCAATCCACATTAGTCCAAAAATTAATGACTTTGGGTTTCTGAAAAAAATAAGTATAAAAAATTTACAAAATTCTTCTCAAAATAAAGGTTTCAATTTGAATATGTAAAGTCATACAAGGGCATGCATGATAAATTACTTTGTTCATATGCCAGTAATAAGTTTCTTCATTGTCTTTATTAATCTAAAGGACTATTTGATCTCCAATTTTAGTCAGGATTTAAGCTGAATCAAAGCTTAAATACTTCAAAATTGAATTTTGGGCTTTAAATCTTACAATTTTGATAAATCCCCCTTGACTAACTCCAAAATTTATTAAATCCCACCATTCACATGATTTAAAGATAAAGATATCTCTCGTGGTTATTATTATAGCAATCACAGTGAGATTTTTCAATAATTACAAAATCTAGATTTACAAGATTTACTAAATACTATTTGAGCTAAATCCTAGTTGAGTCAAATAGCCCCTTAGGGTGGAAAAAAATTTGCATACGTAAGGCGTACACAATGCTGCGTGCATAATGGAGGTTATCTGGGCGTTATATCGGTATTATATTTATGTTATATCTCTTGTAACCTCCATGTAACCTCTATATAACCTACTTGTAACCTACCTGAATTTACAAATAAGTTCCGCGCTTCTATCTTCACATATTTGTAGGTTACATTTAGGTTACATAAAAATTATATGGAGGTTATAAGGGATATAACGTGAATATAATGCTGATATAACGTGAATATAACCTCCATTATGTACGCAGCGCTTACGTATTGGGTGCCTCTTTATTCTTAAAAAGATTTACATACATCCCCACTTAATTCCTATTGTTTACATATCTAACACGAAAATTCACATTTTTACATGCATACCTACTTACCTATGCATGAAGATGTGTATTAAAATCACCATTACAGGCATCAACACTGAGTCATTGGGAGATTATAATGCAGATAAAATTTGTTGCTGAATTAAAATTACCTTGCACGGATCCCAAGATAGACGTGAGGCCTGTAAGTTCCCCAATACAAGCTTTCCTTGTGCTCTCCCTGAAACTGAACACAAATTTATGCAAAAAATCTCATAAGACAACAGTTTTTTGTTTAAAATCAAACTCCAACCATTACAAGAAGAAATAAATAAAAATGTCATAATTTTTCGCTTCTTCCGTTCAATTTTTTTCACCTGGGCCAAATCCAACATCTTCGGTGCAGGCAAGGGTGTGACAATTCTCATCAACTTTCGAACCTCAGGATCATCATCGGATCGGCCATAGAGATTGTAGAACAAGAATGATGCCATAAGTATAACAAAAAAGCCAAAACCAATCCCTAGAAGCGTCCGAACCCTCACGTTCATGATACGGAGAAGACCATGATCGCGGCTTTTCGCTCTTCCTCTTCCTACTGCGGCTCTTAGATTACCAGCAGACGAATCGCCGCCTGCGCCGTCTCCGGCCCGGGGCTTCCCACGGCTACGAGCAGTCGCTCTGCTTCCTCCACTCATTCCTTCGAAGCTCAAAGCATTTATTATGGAAACCAGAGCTGCTCCAGATTTACTGGACTGCAGTATCAACAAGGAGGTACCAGGTTCCTGCAGTTCCTTGCTGGAACCTTCACAGGATTGCCGGATGGAGAAGGCAGACAAGATTATCTTCGGGACTGTTTGGTTGCAGGATTTGAGCAGGAGTTAACCTATTCTTCGGATTTCACCACTAGATTTTATCCTGAGATTTTGATAGTTATGGTTTCACCTGTTCAAAATTCCACGTAGTATCTGTGAATTCTAAATAAGAGCAGAGCCGAGGATTTAGGGTTTCAACACCAATATCGAATGGAACCAAGGAAGAAAAAGAGCAGCAAAGAACAAGGGAAGAAAATTTTTAGGTAAACAGGGAAAGTAAATGGTTGTGTTTAATTTCTAGTGTTTGTGAGTATCTCATTATAATCATATATAATCATGATTTAATATTGTAGAAAAATGCATTTTATTTGACAATATTTATTTATTCTATGTGTTAGGAAGAATAGAAAATATCCATTTTAACCATATATATTAATGACATGTCTTTAGAGAACAATGCATTAGATTTGATAAGGTTTATTTGTTCATTGAGTTCGGAAAAACACAAAATATCATTTTGTACCAGCACAACACCACAACAATTTCACCAAATTAACCCAACTATACCACCATGCGCACCATAATATCATCATATTAACATCATGATATGGACATATTGCAATCTCAATACCACTAAAATAACATCGTAAAACGATCACAATACCACCATATTATCATGTAAGACAACCACAATATCATCACAATACTTTCAAAGTACTACCAAAATATCACAACTATATCACTGGAATACTGCAAAAAATACATCGAAATATTAGTATAATACCACTAAATGTTTATCACATTACAACACCAATATCATCATAATACTACCACAATTTCACCATAAGACCACCACAATTCAGGTAGTATTATGATGGTATTGTGAAGATTATTTGATAGTATTTTGGTGATATTTTAGTGGTATTGTGGTGGTATTATGGTGGTTTGGTGATGCTTCTTTGGTGTTATTGAGTGACAATTTGGTGGTTTTATAATGGTTATATGTTGATATTTTGGTGTCATTATGGTAAAATTCTCGTGGTATTTTTGTGTTATTTGAGCGTTATTATGGTGGTATTATGATAAAACTATGATGATATTTGATTATTTTATAGTAGTATTATTACTATAATGTAGTGTTATTTTAGTGGTATTATGATAGTATTATAGTGCTATAGGGTTTTTAATGTGTTGTTTTGTTGATTGTTTGTTGTAGAATTTTTGCTGGTATTTTTGTCTTATTTGTTGGTATAGATATGGTAATTTGGAGATGGTTATGTGATGGTAATATGATAGTATAATGGTCATAGTATTTTTGAGGTAATATGTTAATATTTTGGTAGTAAAATGACGGTGTCATGGTGGTATTATGGGGATATGTTTTTTGCACATAGAATAGAACCAACTCTGTGTTAATAAGAAGATTAATAAATTGTGCGCCATTTTTGCTTGAAAAAAACATTGTTATGTCAGATTTCCTTCACTAATGTTTATTGTCTCAATATGTTCTTCTTTTGTAATTTCATGAACCCAAGAATGCAGACCTGTAGATGCAAGCTTTATTCTATCAAAGTGGTGCGTGATATAACTTTTCCACACATTAAAGCATAAATTAAAAATATTTTGAATGATTCACATTTTCTTCAGCTCTTCGACATGTCTCCTTACCATCAAAATATTTCATTAACTTTACAAACACTAGATGTTGGGACACTGACGAGAAGGTTTTCATAATAATAAATTTTAAGGTTATGGGACTACGTTTTAATTATATAGAGTCTCCCATAGCTCATGGATCAAAAAATTCTCCGTTGGGCACTCCTTTGAAAATCAGAGTTTCAGAGCTAGATAGAGGCTTAGGCGCTAGCATAGGGTTCTAGGTACCCTAAATGCCTTCCTGAACATCCAACCCAAGCCATTGGAAGTCTGACTCCATGTCCCTGACGTCTAGGTGTTAATTCCAAGCACTTAGGCGACCAAAAGCACAAAAAAATTTTACCTTTTTCCCAGAGCAAAGATGTATATCTCCACCTGGGTGTCGCTTGGGTGCCAGACCTAGCGCTTGGGTGCTAGACCTGACACTTAGGTGCCAGATCTGGTGTCGAGGCACAGGTAACTTCCTAGATGATAGAAAATGAACATTTTTTTTTGCATCGTTTTGACTCCCGAGGCCGCCGGAATTGCAGAGATCGCAATGATAAGCCTTGAGATGGTAAAAGAGGGGGTGAAATGACTTTTTTTCCCTCCTCTAGAAGGGTCATAGAGGTTTTCGGTTTATTGCTGGCGTGAGCTTTTAAACCGGGGGGAAAGCCTCATTTCCCACCATTAACACCTATCATCGACATCTATGGGGGTCAATCGCTCTCCCTTTCCCTCTCCTTCTTCATCGATGAGTTGAAGGAGCTTGGAGAGCCTCTGGGGAGCTTTCGTGGTTCATCGGAGAGGCCTCTTGGAGAAAGAGAAAGGAGTAAGGGCTTCTCTCCCCCTCCTTCATCTTCTTCTTCATTATCTCCTTCTCTTCATCATCTCCTTCATTTTCCTCCACATTTGGTGAGGGTGTGAGGCAGTTTTCTTGAGAAAGAGCTTGGTTATCAAGGCGTCTACTCTCCTATGCTAGCAGAGAGCTTCATCCTAACTCAGGGAAGGATCATCGAAGGATCATTAGAGCGTCTACGGAGCACCACCAAAACTTGGGCTCCGGTTATTTAGAAAACCAATGTATTTAAATTTTCTCAAGGAAAAATCTCGATGCTTTCGACTTCTATATTGGACCATAGAGCAGAGGGCAAATCATTGTAACCACCACGTGCGGCGATGCCTAGGCATGTGACGATGTGTCAAAAGAATCGACAGGGTTCAAAAGAGGTGTCAACATGAAGGAAAAGATTCCCTAAAAAGGTATAGGTAGTCAGTTCAGGATACCACGAATCTGTCATCTCAAGCTATATTGATCTTTAGTCTAAGTGGTTGTGAAGGTAGTCGACCCAACACAACTGGAGGCTCTTTGTCAGCAATCCGTGAATTACGTCGTCTAAGGAAGCCTCGATAACTCTAAAGTTGAAGGAAGGAAACTCTAATTTCTATGACTCTAAATAGGTCGAGCTCAAAGAGATGGGGCTTATGCTCACCAAGAAAATGACAGTGCTACCATTGGAAAGAAGAGAAAAGGAGGTTCAACTACAAAGTTGGAAATGCTCCGCATAAAGGACTTATACACTGTCTGGGCTGCCAATGCCTCTAACACCCTGGTTGTACTAGACAGCCTCCTATGTTAAAAAACTGTGCTTGGTCAGGTCAGGTATGGAGAAGCGCAAGGACTTCTTCTTGATTCTATCATATGATACAATTGTTTACAACACCAATAGCATGAAGGCCCTATTAATTATGACAGGGTGTATAGTCATACAAGTAGCCCATTTAAAATCTGGCATGCCATGCAGAAAATAAAGTGTTTTAGAAAATTTTAACCCTTAATTTAATTAATCTTAATCTTTATTATTAAGATTTTGTAGAAAATTTAAAATTTTAGGATCATTAATGCGTCTAGATTATTTTTTGTAATTAATCCTAGAGAAACCACAAAATGAAATAAGAAGAAAATAATTTCAAGCACCAATTCAAGCAGTAGAAAAGTAAAAGCACGTCCAAAAGAAATATAGAAAGGTCGGTGTCACTGGGGCAAAAATATCTCTCAGAAAAGTAGTAGACGCTGACGGACTACGCATATAAATGCCCAGACCTAATTTTATACAAGAATATAAATTCAGAATTCACGTAGTTCGATGTGTCATCCGCCTCAAAACTCATGCACATACCTTATTTCTGATACAAACTTAATCGTAGGACTCTATCAAATAAATATGAAAGAGAAAATAAATGACTCAACCTGCAGAACACGTTAGCACGAGTTAATATGCAATGTATATGAGTCATGCCTAGCGGGAGGAGTTTATAGCAGTGTCTGTAAGAATGGGTTAGCATATAAATCATGGCATAGATCCCCCTTTATTAAATATGTGTGTGTTTATTTAAACGACTCCCTGTAAGAAAAACCAACATAATATACTATTGCACATACACAAATATAGTAAACATGCAAGCACATCAAAAGCACAAGTAGAAAAAGACACCTAGCTAGGCCAACACAAAACAATAGTCTGGTGCCAAAAATACTATCTAACAACTTAGTCCTAGCTTAGCACACAATCTAATAAAAAGTGTCCTAACCAGCTTCTAAGTACTCATGGTAAAGTCTTCGAGTATGTACGAATTTGATGGGGTCTCCAATTCCAGTCCCGTTCTAAAGATCTAAGGGATATAACAAAAAGTCGCCCAAGATAGATTTTAAAAAGAAGGTTGCCTTACATATGACCTAGCTTGCTATTTGCATAATTTAAAAAATAGAATAGACATCATAAATATAAAATTAATATTTTTTAAAATTTAAACTAGGGCAATTAAGTGCAGACCTGTAACGTGCAAGGCGACATAAGTTAGATTCCTTAAATCCTTAGCACAGTCGTGCATGTGTCAATCTCGATGCTTTAACTCGCACTGCTCCTCAAGATCTAATCGGAAAACAATACTTTTTAAAACATTGCGGTCGACACAAGGTCACTCATCTATCGAGTCTGGCTAGCTACCAAAGCATGTAGACAAATGCAAATGCAAGTAGACATATCACAAGATTCAACACCGTGATCATTCAAATATGATATAAGCAAACACGATGGAAGATCACCAAACAACATGCAAATGATAGGACTCAAATGCAAATAAGTTGCACACTCGATGAGTTCAGATGCTCTAAAGCATAACTGTGATTGAGTATACAACGTAAAAAGGGCTTATGGTGTTCGAATGTGACACCACCAGTGACATTTTGATATGCTCTCCATATAGGAAATTCACATACCATCGGACTAGCATTGCTAGCCACCATTCATTACAAAAATGTGAATATCATATTGCACACACACATAGTGACATATGTGTGAGGTGATACAACAGTTGTCGATTCTCATTGAGACACCAAATACAGGCACGTGTCAAAGGAAAAAGATTC